TTCCCTGTCCCGTTCCCTGTCCCGTCCCCTGTCCCATCCCCTGTCCCGTTCTCTGTCCCATCCCCTGTCCCGTTCCCTGTCCTGTTCCCTGTCCTGTTCCCTGTCCCGTTCCCTGTCCCATCCGCTGTCCCGTTCCCTGTCCCGTCCCCTGTCCCATCCCCTGTCCCATCCCGTGTCCCGTTCCCTGTCCCGTCCCCTGTCCCGTTCCCTGTCCCATTCCCAGTCCCATCTGCTGTCCCGTTCCCTGTCCCATCCCCTGTCCCATCCCCTGTCCCGTTCCCTGTCCCGTTCCCTGTCCCACTCAGTGTCGGTGTCCCAGCCTCGGTGCCTGCCCTGCAGGGGCTGTGTGACAGGAGAGGCTGTGACCAGGACAGCAGTAGAGCACAGAGCTGTGTGGCTGCGCTGTGAGCGGGGCTCACAGTGTCACAGTGGCATCTCAGTGTCCCCCAGCTCCCATGGCTTCCTTTAGGCCAGCAAAGGGCAGGAGGAGCTGCCCTGGGCTGCTGCTGCCCCTCAGCTGCTCTGCCCCATCCATGGGAGCCCCTGGCAGGACAGGCACAGAGTCCTGGCACTGACCCTCAGCTCCTGTCCCCTCTCCCTGCTGGCTTCAGCACAGAGGTGACAATCCGGGGGAAGCCAGAGGTCCTTTGCCCCAGACCCTGTTTGAGAGGTTGATGTGGAATGAGGAGGATTTACTGGAACTCCTCCTGTTCCTCAGGAGCACACAGCAAAGGGAAACCCCCAGGACTCCCTGTGGCCTTCAGGCAGGGCTGGTTTAGCTTGGGCTTCTCCTCTCCCCGTGCTCCTCCTTCCCTTCAAACTGGGGGAGAGGGAGAGAAAACAAATTTAAATCAGTACCAAAATAAGGCAAAMGAAGTATTTTAGAGGGAATTAAATTGAGTGACTGCAAATGCAGAAATATTGATGAGGCTGAGAGAATACTGTTGGGAAAAAAATACATTCTCAGTTTGGAATTTGTAATGATAGTACAGCTTTTTACCCAGATATGGGCAGCAGCACRGGCTGTGGTGTTCAGTACCTTTGTGTTAACATAAAGAGAATCAGCATTTCATGCTGACTCATTCCTTACCCCACTTTATTTGTTACCAAATATAATAAATGCAGAAGTTCCCTACCTTATCACAGGGTTCAGTTTAAATTTTGGTATTGAAACATTGTCCCCCACTCACCCCAAAAATCTGGACTTGAGCAACTGCTGCCTTTTCAAATCAAGAATTACAAGTAATCTTTCTCTTGGGAAAAYGGTAAGAAATTGTATAAGACATTCAATTTAAAGTTTTTGCGGTTTTTTCTTCACATTTTTTCTTAGTACTACAATGACTATGGAGATATCATTAAGGAAACCCTGAGCAAAACCAGGCAAATTGATAAAATCCAGTGTGCAAAGACCCTCATTCTCAGTTTGCAACAGGTAAGAACATTGATTTTTTGTTAGAAATGCCTCACTGCAGAAGCCCTGGCCAGGATTTCCTCCAGTGCCCTTTACAGGGAGGCAGAAATGCTGCACTCCTTAGGCCATTGTCTTCATTTCCTGCTCCCCAGCTCGAGCTGTTGCTGCTCCTGTGTCTCAGCAATCTGTCCCCATGAGCCCACACTGGAAAAGTTTGGTCAGGTGGAAATGGAGGGAGAGAAGAGCCTTGAAGGCAGTTTGGTCCAGGCTGATTCATGGCATTTGTTTACTGATCCTGAGCCAACAAGAATTAGTATGGCTCTTTCTTCTTAGCATTTGCTGAAGTAATGCATCTTCCTTATACTTTGTCTAAATACTGATGGATTTTTCAAATTTCAAGCTAATTAAGTCCTCCAATGCTGTTAGACATGTTTTCCCCGTGAAAAATTTGCTTTCCATCAACCATAAATTACTGCCTGGTGATGAAATCAGCCAACAGCACTAAGTGCACTAAAATATCACTTAGACCCTCCAAGTCCTAGCTATAGGCAGTGCACAGAAAAATTACTTCTGCAAATTAGATGCTCTCAAATGAGCTGGGCYTCCCAAACTTCATTCCTAAAGGATTTCCTGTGGAAGCTGAGAGAGMTCTGTGCAAACTTGAGGAAAACAGATGTACTTCAAGAAGAATCAGGGAGCGTCAGGGCAGCCCCGTCTGTGAAACTTGGAGGGGAGGAAGCAGGTGCCGCAGACTATTCAGGCTGACAAAATTCCATGAAAAAAAATAATGAGAGGAGCTCTTTGCAAGTGCCTCAGTGAAAGGCAACAGCCAGTGTGAATTTGCCAAGGAGGAGTCCTGTCAAATGAATCTGCTGTCATTCRTTACATGGGAGCAGAGCTTGGGGAGATGAGAGAAGCAGTGGCTGTAATGCAACCTGGTTTCTTATTGTCCCTGTCACTGCCTGCCAGGACACTCTGACTGAGGGAGATGGGGTGGCAGTGGCAGTGCCAGGGGAGGTGGAACTGCCAGAAAGGCACTGGGCACTGCAGTGCTGGGCTGGGAGRGCCCTGGAGGCAGCAGTGCTGGACAGGCAGGCGCTGGGGCTGCCGGGGGGCAGCTGCAGTTTCGCTGCCCAAAGTCAAACCTGATCTGAGGGGTGCTGGGGGTGTTTCAGAGAACAGCACCAGAGTGCAGCACCTGCTGCAGGTGAGTTGGGAGAACCACAAATGGGATTCATGGAAGGTGGGGGCAGAATTCCACAAAATAACTCTCAGTTGTTGTCCCCTTGAGCACAAGATGGGGGACAGCAGTGGGACAGAAGAAATTCTGGGAAGGGACGGGGACTCTGTGCAGGAAGTCCTCACAAAGGGCAACTCAGGGGGAGCAGGTTTAGAACCTAAGGCTTCCTCAATAGAAGCCTTTCCCAGATGTCAGTCTCTGATCTCTCCCTGCAGCTGTTCAATGAGCTGGTGCAGGAGCAGGGTCCCAACCTGGACAGGACATCTGCCCACGTCAGCGGCATCAAGGAGTTGGCCCGGCGCTTTGCCCTCACTTTTGGCTTGGATCAGATCAAGACAAGAGAGGCTGTGGCCACACTACACAAGTGAGTGGTGGTAAATAAACTAGATTTTTATATTACTTCAGATTCAAACTCATGTTCAGCACACTCTTTCTAAAGATATATAATCTCAGGAGGCCATGGAATAATTACAATTTTTTTTCTAGCTTAAGTAGAGGGGTGTGCATGTGGGTAGGGAGAAAGGAAGGAAGTTGGTTGCTACCTAATTATTTATTGGAATTTATTGGAATGAATTTATCTCAAGTTAAGCTTGTGTGGATTGTGTCTACCAACTGAGTGTGGTTCTTTGTGCCACACCACTGTGGATTCTGGAGAAACCAAGAGCTTTTATAAAAMGATACTCCAAAAATATTTTAGAAAAGTGGAATGGAACTTTTTGTGTAACTGCTGCACAGGAAAGTGTAGAAAGGTTCTACTAAATTTAAATTATGACTTTGCCATGCCACAAAAAAGTTGAAATGCTAAGGTTTGCTGTCTCAGAAACTCAGTGCTGGAGACCAAGAGCAGCAMGGCAGGGTCAGGAGCCAGAGGACCCCAGTGGCCGAGCGAGGGGAGGGAGGGGGCTCCCTTTGGTCACTGATGGCAAAGCAGAGCTGGGTGTGTCCCTGCCCTGGGGACTCAGCCCCTTGCTCTGGCTGCAGAGGTGGCTCCTGTTTGATCTGACACCTTCCATGGATGCACCGGCCCAGTTTCCACCCTGGGCAAGTTCCCTCTTACAGGGACTGGCCACGTGAGATCTGGGGAGGTCTCACAAATCCACAGGGAGCTCTGCATTCCCCTTKGTCCAAATGCAGCTGTTTGCCAGGAACAGGGAAAAACGCTCTGATGGCATCTGAGGGTACAATCACAGTTCAGATTTTGGTCAATTTATTTGGTTTGGGGGRGGGKTWAAWTTTTTTWWAATTTATTTTGTTGCAAATGTCTGAACATGTAAATGTTTCTTTACTGTAGAGAYGGCATAGAGTTTGCCTTCAAATACCAGAATCAGAAAGGACAAGACTATCCACCTCCTAACCTTGCTTTCCTCGAAGTGCTGAGTGAATTTTCTTCCAAGCTCTTGCGACAGGACAAAAAGACTGTGTAAGTACTGCTCTGTTTTCTTCCCTGAGCTCTGCTAATCCCTGCAGTGTGGGCTTCTACTCTCTTCTTTGAGGTTTCCACAATCTAACAGGGGCTGCAGAAAGTCCCAGTGATACATTTCATGTACACACTTTCTCATCCTTTTATGTTTTAAAGTAATAAAAATTAATGGGAGAAGGAAAATCAGACCCACTAATGAGGTGAGTTTGAGACCTCCCAAAACAATGTTGTTTAAAATTTCCCATGTTGTTTTGAAAATAGAGGAACAGTGTTTTTTTCAGGCTAGAAGAAAAGAAATTAACATTAGCACTGCAGGGAATTTACAGGCTGTCACCACTGCAGTAACAGCTGTTTCAGTTGTGTATTTACATAAAGTGTAAATGTATATTTGTTGTTTCTGTTAGTGTATTAGAAGAGGATTAAAGTCAACCATCAGCCAAGCACCATGTGCCCMGTGTAGAACTGGATTCATGGAATAACTTTCTGGCCAGTTAAAAAATGCAGTTGCCAGATATGCTGATTTATGGTTGCAGGTACCTTTCCAGTCAATTCTGTGAGTGTTAGTCACAGATCAGCTGGAATGGCCTCACTGATTCTGTCAGACCTTGCTGTGAAGGGTGACAGATGTTCTTCTTCGAAGAAAGAAATTTATTTTAAATTTAAATTTATTTTAAAGGACTTTTCTATTAGGGTTAGCAGTTATGAACCTTACAGCTTTATCTGTGCAATAAGAAATGCATCTTATTAAATTTGTATAATTATTAATGTGTACATTAATAATTATACTTTGTATAATTATTAATGTGTATTTCACTTTTTCATTGTATCAATAATTGCTCAATTCAGCAAACTGTTGGACAAATCGTTAAAGGAGCTTGGGAATGAATGGCATGATCCAGTTGGGCTGTCTTGGCTCTCCAGTTGTGCAGCTGCTCTTCATTGCTCCATCCTGGAATCCTGTCAGCCTCTGTCCTGTTCTTCAGGGATAACAGGGTTTTATGGCTTATCTTCCTGGCTAAACTGCAGGTTCTCTTGCATGTTGGTCTCAGTGCCACTRGCCTGTTTCCTGTTGGATTTAGTGAAGTTTAGCCTTTGTGCAATCATCCCTTCCACAAGCTTCAAGAGTCTTTTTAAAGTTACCACATGCTGGACCGCTGTCCCTGACAGCTTCTGCTAACTTGAKCCTTTGAGTGGAATTCACTTCTTTGGGACGTTTGGTTCCTTGAGCTTCCATGTTGCCTTTCAGTTCTGTCTGAAAGGTTACACAGCAGTGGCTGCTCCTGCAGGGCTGTTGGGATTGCTGTGCTGGAATCCACCTCTCCTGGTTTTATCTGCCTTTGCTGGAGTCATCTGTATCTGAGCTAGTGACCTCAGCTGAGTCTGAGCATCAGTGAAAAGAAGCAGGTCCTTTGGTGTCTGATTGATCTGATGTGTGCCAAACTGCTGCTTTGGGATGAGTTCAGCCCTGCCCAGG